TAATATCCCCAATATTTGGCTCAGTCCCTGTGTATCATCACTAAAGAAAAAGGGGACAGTAAAATATCATGTCCCTGAATGCCTGCTTTCTGTTCCCCAAAACCTAGCCAAGTCACACAAACAATGAGAGCAAGCCTAGGCCAAAAAATCTGATAGATATTATCTTTAAAAAAATGGTATTCTCTTATACACACTGGGAACTAGAACAAGCTAGTGTTGTCTGTAAAAATCTTCTTGTTTCTTGTATGTGTTCTGGGCAACATTCTTAGTTCTTAGTAATCTTAGAGTAGTTTTGATTTGCACTTCTCTAATTGCTAGAGGTGTTGAACATTTTTCATATATTTGTTGATTAATTATATTTCTTCTTCTGTGAAGTATCTCTGGGATGCTGGGTCAGACAAGCTAATGAAACAAGCTGATGCTGATGGTGTCACTACTTCTGCAGCCTAACATATAAAACTCCTTTCTGAGTGGTGATGAGTGCAGAACTGAGGACACTGTGGAAAGGATATGTGTCACGTGCCCAGCTGGCCAACACTGGACAAAACCCCATAAGAGACAGGAGACACTGCTTAGCAAAGCACCATAAGAGACAGAAGTACTGTCAGCCAGTCACCACTGAACTCTTCTCGGAGCAGCCACTGACCTCTTATAAGTTTTCCCCAATAAGCATCTCCATGCTGTCTTGGAGCAATTTCTTTGGCCTATCTGAAACCTATTCCATTGCCCTGGCATAACTAGGCTGTAGAAAAGATACCCTGTACCTAGTATTTGTGCAGGAAATGGTTGTTAAACATTAATAAATCCAGGTTTTTCCTTTATTGTCTTTCTTTTTTAATGTATGTATTTTTAAAAATKTTATTTGTCTTAATTATGCATGACAGTAGAATGCATTTATGCACTATCATATATCATATATAGATGGGCTATAATTTCTCATTTTTCTGAGTGTTGCAGAATCATATTGGTCATGTAGTCATATATATACATACAGTAATAATGTCTGTTTCATTCTACTATCTTTCCTATCCCCACCTCCCCTCCCCTCCCCTCACATCACTTCCCTGTACCTAATCTAAGGTATTGCTATTCTTCCCTAGTGCCTCCTGCCTATTGTGAATTGAGCTGCTATGAACATTAATGTGACTGCATCACTATAGTATGCTGATTTAAGTCCTTTGGGTATAAACCAAGGAGTGGGATAGCCTGGTCAAATGGTGRTTCCATTCTCAGTTTTCTGAGGAATCTCCATACTGATTTCCATGGTTGTTGCACCAATTTGCAGTACCACCAGCAATGTATAAGTGTACCTTTTCCCCCCACATCCTCACCAACAACATTTGTTGTTGCCTGTATTCTTGAAGATTGCCATTCTGACAGGAGATGAAATCTTAGAGTAGTTTTGATTTGCACTTCTCTAATTGCTAGAAGTGTTGAACATTTTTTCATATATTTGTTGATTAATTATATTTCTTTTTCTGTGAAGTATCTGTTCAGTTCCTTAGCCCATTTATTGTTTGGGTTATTTGTTTCAATTCCAATAGSTAGACTATGAAACCAACCTAGGTGTCCCTCAATAGATGAACAGATAAAGAAAATGTGGTTGGGCTGGGGTTGTGGCTCAGTAGTAGAGTGCTCACCTTGCACACACGAGGCCCTGGGTTCAATCCTCAGCACCATATAAAAATAAATAAATGAAATAAAAGTATTGTGTCCAACTATAATTAAAAAATAAATTTTTWAAAAAAATGTGGTATATATACTCAATGGAATATTACTCAGCTTTAAAGCATAGTAAAATTATAGCATTTGCTGTAAATGGTTGGAGTTGAAGAACATCAAGCTAAGCAAAATAAGCCAATCCCACAAAACCAAAGACGGAATGTTTTCTCCCTTTATTTTCTTTCTACTATGGATGTTTTGAGGCACTTGATCTCACTCACCTTAATTCTCTATCATACGTTGACTTACACAGAGTTTTCATGTAATCCTTGCAACTTTACAAGCCTTGACCAACTTCACTGTAAATGGTCATTTCTCTAGCTAATGTCTGACCTTATCAAGGAAACTCAAGTCCARACAAGAAAGACAGGAGTATCCCCATTACTGAAATGTGACAAATAAAGTTGTAACCTAAGAGAAAATCTAGAAAGCATGGACCAGAGTATAAGAATACATGATTCAACAGTATCCCCGGAACAGTGGTTCTGCATGCATTGGCCCCAGAGGCCAGCTCTTTCATGAAGACAGAATCATCTCCCTGAAGGCCACCTAACTCCCGCCGTTCAAATCCACAAGCACCAAGCCACCTTTTGTAAGTAATTTCATTTCCCGTGTAACTTGATAACAAGACAGAATGGCTCTGTTATTTTTGTCACTGAAAATATAAGTTCCCTCATGAGCCTGAACATTCTGGTTGACACACCCAACTCAAATATGTTTAATTTGCATAAATCAGTTCTCAAGAACACAGTCACCTTTGGATGTACTAATAAAGTCAATTTCATGTCCCTACAAAGCTGTCATGGGGCCAGTGACACATCAAGGTACAGCCTTCCTTGAAGGCGCTGAACAGCCAGCTACCTTCTTGTGCTTCTTCGTTACTTATTTTAATGCCATTTAACTACTTCTACACAACACAGTCCCAATTCGCAAAGCATTTCACACTGTATGTATTTCATCCTCTTGATGTCTACAAGCAAATACTCTCCTCTCCATTTCACCTAAGTGACAACTGAGGCTCAGAATGGTCATGCAGCTCGTCCAAGGATCCACACATCCTGTAAGCCGTGAATTAGTTTTCTAAATGCCTGCCCTTTAAATATTAGAGTGGATTAAACCCAGATTCTCTAAATCAAAGTTCCTGTTTTTTTCTGCTCCTTCATAATGTTTTCCAAATTCTCACATCAGTCCAGATTCTCACTCCAGTCCATAGCTGGAGTCACCCCCAAAATGGCAGCAGGGAAGCCCCAATCATGCATGCCAAGATGAGGACAGCTGGTATCCCAATGGGAGAAGTCCTAAAATACTAGGATGATCAGTCCAAAGTATTCATTAGTGGAATTTACATAACATGGGAGCTGCAGAGTCCTCATGGTGGGCAGCAAGACAAGGTTCTCTGCCTTGGAATGTCAGCAATGAGCAAGTCAAGTTATGGAGTTGCCTATGATGGTTTAAGGAATTTGGTTCAGGGCAGAGGCTAGTTTCTACGTGTTTCGCAAAAGGATTAGCGTCTCAGTGTTTTTAAGCAATGAAYTAAACAAGTTTAGCGATGCCAGAGAATGTTCAAGGCCCAGGATGGGTACAAGCCTGCAGGGAAGACATGCAGTTGGCTGGTCACGGAGCAGTCAAGGTACCCTGTGCTCCTCAGGATACAACAAAAGCAAATAGAACCAGCAGACCTACAGGAGGGGTGACTAGGAAGGAAGGATGGAGCTTGCCCCAGTTGTATTTATTTAACACTGTCCATCTACAGTCTCCTTATTCCTCTCAGCCTTTACTGACCCTGGAGCCAGGAACTTTTCTTAATTAAAAGCTAAGAAAATTGGTCCTCAGAGACTTTGACTGGCTTTTTCRTGGCCTAGGAGCTGGTGGGAACCATTGGGGAGAGGATGCTTACTTGTTCCTTTGAACAAGCACCTATCAAGCTATCTGGAGTCTGATGAGCTGTGAAATGACAGCCAGCTTGTGGTCACCATCACCACTGTTGTCACTAGAGTCAGCACTTACTGTGTGATTCCTTTGTGCTCAGACATGTTCAGTCGTCTTACCAATCCCCCAYAGTAGACCCCATGAGGAAGACATTCTTATCCCCATTTTGAAGAGATTGAAAATGAAGTGCAGAGAGGTCTGTAACTTGCACATTTTCATATAATTAGTAAATGGTGGTGGTCAGATTCAAACTCAAGCACATCTGACCTCAGCCGCCTGTGCTTCTGGCCACTCTGCAAACCCTTTGTACTACATCACAGGTCCGGTCTGCATATTGACAAGGGCACCTCTTAGACTAAGCAGAGCTTTGGGTGGTGGCCAAAAAAGGGAGAGAAATGGCATATCCACCTTTCTATTACCACTCTGGGTTCTTGAGCACCCCTGCAGCAAAGTCTGCATTTTGGCTACAGCAGCTTATTGGTCCCCACCACATCACTGGCTGTGCCGCCTAAACAATGACTTTTCAACACAATACTCTCCCTTTTCCCCAATGTCAGACTCTTCCTTCCCAACCTGTTTGCTTGTGTCCCTTATTTAAGAAAGCTTTCTCAGATCAAGAAAACCTGCCACCCCAGACTCTCCATTTCTCCCGAACATTTCCATCCTCTGGGAGAAAGCCTGACTCTCTATGATTTCACCCTAGTTGGATGTTGCCCGATCCACCCCCCCACCCCATCTTGCTCATGTTCAAGTGTCTCGACTCCTCCTCGCGCCATGTGACTCTAGTGTCTTCTTTCACTCCCACAAAACATCCATCCAGGGGTAGTGCATAAACAAAGGAGATAGAGGCCGATGGAGAATTTCAAATGCAGTTTATTGCAGCAAAACAAGGAAATGGGGAGTTTAAGACCTCTCCATAAAAGACAAACATCTTGCATACACCTTATATACAAAACCAAAGCAGCACAGAGTTTGCTGCAAGAGACAGGCTATTAAGGAGCTGTCCAGAACATGCTCTCTATGCACGGCAAAGAAGCCCTGGGTCTAATTAGTCCTCGTCTGGCTGGATTACTGAGGCTCTTTGAAATGTCATGTGTGTAGTGGTAATTGCTGAGCTATTCTCAGGCAATACACAAAGCAGGGTTTTAGCCAGGGAACTGAGACTGTCATTGATCTAATGACTTCTTTTGGAAGCAAAGCAGAAAAGAAAGAGCAAGGGAAATAGGATGAGATGGTGTAGCTAACCATAGCTCTTTTCTCCAATAAGGCTTGGGCAATTGACCTTGGTCTTGTCAAGCACATTTGGTAGGGATGGAGAGGGAAGAGCTAATGGAATAGAGAGCACCTCTTTATCTGGACCCTCGGGAATAACTGGTGGAAACAAACTTCACACTAGAACTGCCACCAGAGCTCTTGACACCCCCAGAGCTGGATCCCCGGCCTCCAGAGGAGCTGTAGCTGCCTCCAGAGCTACCACCGCCGGAAACCCGGCCGCCAGAGCTGCCGCCACCCATTCCTGAGCCACCTTTGTGGCCTCCAGAGCCGTAGCTGCCGCCTCCGCCGCCACCTCCGGAACCGTAGCTGCCACCTCCGGAGCCGTAGCTACCGCCACCTCCAGAGCCATAGCTTCCACCTCCGGAGCCATAGCCACCTCCTCCAGAGCCATAGCCGCCACCTCCTCGGCTACTACTTCCACTGATGCTGGTGTGGCTGGTGCTCACAGCTGCAAAAAGACACTTGGTTATCTCTAATCCCACTCCCTTTCCAACCCAGCAGACCCTGCACACGCCCCTGAGAAATCGGCTTGTACTTACACACACTCACGTTGGGGGCACACTCTCCAGACATCCTGTAGGAGAAAATAAATAAGCAAATCTCTCAGGACACTGCAGCTTCTCAAAGCCCTTCCTCGTGCTTCCTCACAAGCTTCAGTCAGCTCTCAAGGAAGGAAGCCCATAGAAGTGATCAAACTCTTSCCATCTCAGAGACTCTGCCTCGCTGAGGATCCTCCAACCCACCTGATCTAAACCTACTCCAGCTCCACTGGCCTCCCAAACCTCTGCTGTTTTTCTAAGCATAAGTACAAACAGGCAGGGAGAAATCCCCATATACAGTAGATAAGAATCTTGCAGCCAGTGAGGGCCACCTGTGAAAGGATTGACTTTGTGACAGGTGATATCTGAGCCCGCCCAAATGAAGAACAAATTGCTCCATTGCAAATATAGAAATGTCATAACTCTCAAAAAAAGGAAAGAAAAGAGAAAGGAAGGAAAAATACAAAGGAAAAGAAATAGAGACTCTGGCTCCCAAAGTGAACCCCAAGTCCTTGCTCCTGCCCATGCCTTCACTTCCCCACACCCAGGTCAGGCCATCGTCCAATGGCTGCATCCTCAGCAACCATCAGCTTGCAGGAAGGAAGCCCATAAGAAGTGACCAACTGCCAGGGTCCCTTCCTCACCTGCTTTCCTCTCCTTCCAGGAGGGTCCTGTAGGTGGCAATCTCCATGTCCAGGGCCAGCTTGGTGTTCATCAGCTCCTGGTAGTCACGCAGCAGCCGGGCCAGGTCCTCCTTGGCCTGCTGAAGGGCATCCTCCAGCTCATTCAGTTTGTTCTGGGCATCCTTGAGGGCATTCTCGCCACGCTGCTCAGCATCACTGATGGACTGCTGCAGGTGGGAGATCTGCAAAAGAGAAGCCAGTGTATTAAACCCGCTCAGAACACCCAACCCTGCTTTGACCCTCCCATGGCAAGTCTATCCCCCACCCCAGTGAGCTGAGTCCTGTAGAACCACTGGACATTAAGCCACCACTGGATAGCACATCACCAGGCTGACTTCCTTGAACGATCTTGGCCTTGACTCAAAGCTCCTCCAGCCTTCACAGACCTGCCATTCTTCTCCCAGCCTGCCCTAAAACCTCCTGCTGCCTCTCCTCCCACTCCTTGGCTCCTAAGTCCCACTTGGGGTCATAAGCTAGGTCACCCATCACATCCTCTCCTTTTCACAAATTTCCCTTTTAAAAAAATCCTGCATGACAGCTAAGTTCTGGAAACCAGAATAGTCACTGAAGGGACTGGAGACAATGTAGCCTTCTTCTGGATTGTCAGACTCAAAGCTGGGAAACTTCCCCCACAGCCTCATTCCACACAGCTGAGCCCTAGAAGAAAGAAACAAGTACCTGCTTCTTGACACTGTCGATTTCAGATCTGAGTCTTTGGATCACCCGATTCAGCTCAGAAATCTCCATCTTTGAGGTTTTCACACTGTCACCATGTTTGCCAGCAGTGACCTGCAGCTCTTCATACTAAAGATGATGGATCATGTCAGTGAGATGTGGGCAGAGCCAGGAATGCTTGCACACACAAAAATAGGAGAAAGCATAGGACAAGAAGTCAAGACATTACAAGGGAACTGGCTAGTCATTCGGACACTCACCTTGGTCTGGTACAGGGCCTCAGCCTCAGCCTTGCTCCTCTGGGCAATGTCCTCATACTGGGCCTTGACCTCGGCAATGATGCTGTCCAGGTCCAGGCTGCGGTTGTTGTCCATGGAGAGGATGACATTGGTTTCACTGATGTGAGTCTGCATCTGAGACAACTCCTGCAGGACATAATAGTTCAGTGACTCCTACAGTACTAAAACAAAAACCTCTTATACAGAGGGAGGTTCTGGAGACGGAAGATGCATTTCTATTCTTTTGGAAACTGGTGGGTTCTGGTTTCAAGGTTCTATCTTCAATTAAATAGACTTGGTTGAAATCAGAGGACTTACTGCTTGGTAGAGTGTAGTGAGGAATTCAATTTCTTGCTGCAAGTTGTCAACTTTGGCCTGAAGGTCCACCTTAGTCATGTAAGCACCATCTACATCCTAGAGGAATGAAGGACATCATGAAGCCATACTCTTTCCAGGATGGATCCCTCTCTCCAAACATGAGGGGCTTTCCAAGCAGGAGTGAAGCTTGGGGACTACCCCACATCTCTTTAGCCCAGAGAGGTCACAGTTTCTGGGTTGCTCCGCTGCTTGGCATCACTATCAAGGGAGATTGCCTGACTTGCTAAGAACTCACCTCCCCAGTACCACATGAGATGCTGAGAAATATGGAGGAATTAAGTACTCAGGTTAATACAGGTCCACATTATGTGAAAAAAACAACTCTCCTCTAGATATTCAGCAGACCCGCTACCTAGATCTCTGCATCATGCTGCTTATGAGTGGAGACCCTATTCTATTATGTATTTAAGAGGTATGTTCATTCACAGGAATTTCTCACCTTCTTGATGGTCACAAATTCATTCTCTGCATTGGTCCTCTTGTTGATCTCATCCTCATACCTACAAAGAAGCAGAAGTGATTAGGAGATTCAGAGGAGTGAGGCCCAAAGTCCAGCATTCTAGACTAAAAGTGGCCTTGCCTGTTCATCAGCTTACTATTGAGAACCAGGATATCCTGGCCACCCCTTTCTTCTGAGCAATAAAACCACTAAACTATTTCCACCTTCTAAGAAGATGAAAATACCATGTTGATTTGCTTCTAACCTAAGGAAAGACATTAGCTACAAATGCATCATATTCTCAGCTTCTCACTTTCTGGAACTCTTGTAGAGCAAGAGCCAAGTGCCCAGCCAGGCTTCCTTACTTGTTCCGGTAATCCTCCACCAGATCTTGCATGTTCTTCAGTTCCGAATCCATGCGAGATTGGTCGCCCTTCAGTTGGTCCACTGTCCTTCGGAGGTTGGAAATGTAGGTCTCGAAGTAGGGCTCTAAACTGTGGGTTCTTGTGGTGGTGTCCACCTGCTGCAGCAGCTCCCATTTTGTTTGTAGCACCTGGTTCTGCTGCTCMAGGAACCTCACCTAAAAAACAAGACCCATTACCCCTAGTGCAGAAATGGGGTCCCATGGGGTCCCAGTGCCTCATTTGGGAAAGAACTTCAATCCTATTTCCTGGCCATGACAAAGGGAGAAACAAGAAGATGATGATCAATTYAGCCTCATCTTCAAAACAAAACCCAACTCATTTTAATTCAGAGAAGGATTAGAAGGAAGTAGCTATACAATACCTGTAGCAAAGCCCACAAAAAAATATTGCAATGATTCTTTGGAATAGATACATGATATTCAAGAGCTTTGCCAAATTTTTTCCAATAGATAACCATAAGAATTGGTTTGTATGACCTGGGCATATACACAGTTCAAAATTATGCTGAGAAAATTCAAACTTGGATTTGAAATTTTTTGTGGATCCCTTGGATTGACAGTATTGATGGTTAAGAAGAAAAGTGGAGAAGGTTTACATGTTTATCCAGAACTGATGATGGGAAATAAAAGAATTTTAAAATACTCCACTGGTCTAGTACCAATGTGAAATTCTCAGAGGGTGGAGCTCTCTTCTGACAGCCAAAAATGCTCTACGCTGACTCACTCCATCCTTTCTGCTACATCACAAGGCACTCTGTCCACACTCAGTTCTCTCTTTTATGGCTAGGAAGACACTTCCATGGTTCTCATTGTGCCCTAGAAAGTTCCATAAGCCCCATTTCTATTATCTTCATTCAAAAGATCCCAATCCAGCTCAAGAGCTAAACAAAAACATTTAAGGTAAATGTTCAAGAGAAAGATGTCATTGGCATCATTTCTGAGTATAATTCTAACATATCTCCTTAGAAGCCCATTCCACAAAATATCCCTTCAGTCATCCAAACACAGAAACATGGAGTTGAGTCCACATGTTCTGGGCTGCTCCAACCTCACATGACCCAGGAGCAGCTCTCCCAATGCCCTGAGCAGATGAACTCACCTTGTCAATGAAGGAAGCAAATTGGTTGTTGAGTGTCTTGATCTGTTCCCTTTCTCGAGACTTGACTTTTTGGATCTCAGGGTCAATCTCCACATTGAGGGGTTGCAGAAGGCTCTGGTTGATGGTGACTTCTTGGATGCCACCAGGGGGGCAGACAGGCCCAAAGCCACCCCCATATCCACCAATTCCAAATCCACCACCTCCAAAACCACCTCCACTGCCAAAACCACCTCCACTGCCAAAACCACCAAAGCCTCCACCTCCAAAGCCGCCACCACCAAAGCCACCACCACCAAAACCACCACCGCCAAAACCACCACCGCCAAACCCACTACGTCCACCTCCTCCAGCCACACTTATGGAGATGCTCTTGCTGCCACCAAGATTAACAAGACTCCGACTGCCAAAGCCACCACCCGCACCTCCAGCACCTCCACCACAGAATCCTCCTGAAATCCTCCCGCCACCTCCTCCACTGCGGCGGACAGAGCTGCTGGTGGACCTGCGATGGAGGCTGACGATGCCTGCGGAGCCAGAGCTAAAGCCCCTTCCGCCCCGGCACACCGACCTGGAGCTACACTGCCTGCTCATGGTGGCTTAGAGAAAAGTAGGAGCAAAGAAGAAGAAGGAAGGAAGGAGCTGAGCACTCCTCTACCCCAAGCCCAGAGACTTCCCCTTATATACAGGGAGGAAATTGGGCTTGGTCCTCCAGAGTCAGCGGAGATGCAGCGCCTCCAAAGGGTTTGGTTGCCTGCAGCCATACAAGATTTTTACGAGCCTCAACAATACGATAAACACTACACACCTAGCTCCCAGGATGGGCTCTCGAAAGTGCTGTGCAGGCAAGATTGGCTCGTGTGGTAATCATTTTATCAGACGAGATCTCTCCTCAAGCATTTGTGACTTTGGGAAAATAGGACCCCACATCTGCTACCTGATGTTTCTTAGAAGGATTTCATAACCCCTGTCACAAAGGTATGTAAGTTTCCATTCTCAGCTTGCCCTTTTGGTCTACCAAGCCCACTCTGACACCACGAGTAGCAGGTGCAATTGTCCATGCTTGGATCTCTGAAGGAGCTCTGAAGGACCCATTTCTGAGATCTGTCCTCCAAACCCCAAAGCTCACCAAATTGCATCCCCTAACACAGAGTAAGGGCTTCAGTAACTAAAAAAAATGTAGAAGTTTTTAATGTAAGCTTTCACAAATGCACCACACTGGTTGCTTAAAGAGAAAGATGCTATCATCAAACAGGATGGGTAGGTAGGAGGTCTGGGAGAACCAAAGGGGAGAGGTAGTCTTTTCTAAATTTCCCAGTTGTTTCTTTTCTTCAAAGGTAGACCAGGCCAGGAGACAGACATCAGAGGCATGACAGAGACACCAGCAACAGAAAACAGGTGCCCCTGGGTGGTTTGCAGATGTCAGTTGAAAAAAGCACACAGAGCAGTGAGATGAATAGATATTTGTTCCATTTGGTAAAGTGAAGGACGGGGAGGTGTGGAGCCCCACGGGGGTCCCATCCTTTCATTGGCCCATGAAAAAGAGTGAATATAGATTTGGAAAGGAGGCTAATATGGGAGTCTAGAAAACCTAATCTGAGAAGTTGCCATGGTTTCTGGAGGCAATGATAGTAATGATGATGACAATAACAGCTATCATGTATCAAAAACTGACCTGTGTCAGGTACTTTTTATATATTTTATGTGTATTAACTTTCACAATTACTTTGAGATAATACTATTATTCTATCCATTTTTAAATGAGGAAACTAAGGCACAAAGATTGATGAGCCTCCCCAAGTCTCCACAGATGGTAAGTGGCACAACTAGTATTTGAGTCAAGGATGCCGAACTATATGTAGTGTGCTAAATCCTAACCCATGTGCCAGACAACAGCACAGCAATTGACTTTAAGTTCTGCCTGCTGTGTTAAAGGCAGATTGCATGGAAAGCTGTCCCACTGCTGAGGGCTTTGAGGGCAAAAAGCTTATTTTATCACTTTGAGTCCTTTACTCCTGGCACATGCAARTACTTGCAAAATATTTCTTTAATTCACTCTGAGAAGGAGAGATTGGAGATGCAGAGTTCAGGTAATCTTAGATTTTGTCCAGGTACAAGAGGATTCCGCATGTATTGCAATAGGCAGGGAAATCTCAGGGCCCTTCCTGGAGAGCAGCACTTGATCAATGTTGGTGGACAGCAGTGGCAAGATTTGGAAAGTCCAGAACCCCACACAGACTGTCATTTGGAGACTTCCTAGAAGCCAGGCAGGCTCCCCATTCTTGCATATAAGCAATGGAAGACAGTRGAGAGAAGCCTGATCTAACTTCACCTGACTGCTAGCAACTCTGTCAGTGGCAAATCATAGACATGGATGGTAARACTCCACTGTGGAATGCAAAATCTGCAAGAAGTCTGGGAAGAACATCTGGCCCCATTGACCTGTGGCTCTGATCCAAAATGCAATGTCAGCCTTCTGCACCCCCTTCCCACCTCTGACCCTGTCTGTCCTTTCCCATGGTGTTTGCTCCACACCCTCCTCCAAAAAGTACYTCCACGTCTCATCTGCTCTCTCTCTCTCCCTCCCATCTCCATGACACTGTTGTCAAAGACTCTGTCCTAGCACTAACATCCTTAGGCTGCTAAACCAAGCATCTCTTTAGGGAATGAGTAATCCAGGTCTTGGGAACAATAGGGTCTGGGATGGTCCTGGCATGGCAATCACTGTTGCCTAATCATTTTCTGACAGGCAATCAAAATTATTTTAATTCAGCATACTCCCTATGAGACATATCATTCTGCACAATCGATTCCTTCTAGCATTTTGGAGGAGCATGCATGTGTGTATGCATACATGTTTGCATGTGTGCACGCACCAGCCCAAAGCAGATCCTTGTAGTGATCTGCGCTTTCAAACTAAGAAACTGACCCAAAGAGAAAGAAGTAATGGTCAAGCAATAGGCAGATGACAAACAGAGCTGCAGACATCTGAGAAGGCAGAAAAGCAGGAACTAGAAGGAATAGGAAGGCATAAAAGTCACCATCAGTTTACATTTGCACAGTTCACCCCACCAAGTACCTGCCCAAGAGTCCTGAGAACAAGGCAGTCAAGCTCTTTCCAATCCATTAGATAAAAAAGAAAACGGAGGCCCTGGGAGACTGTGACTTACTCTAGCCAATACAGTTAGGAAAAGACACATCTGGGACTAGACCCAAGGCTTTCTATTGAGCTTTCTCCTACCCTGGAGAAGAGGCACAAAGACAGAGAAGTGAAACTGTTTCCTATAAATGAGTGCAGAGAATCACAGAAAATTCCCATCCACTGATGCTCAAAGAATGCAGCACATAACTTGCCTAGCACAGAATCAAGAATGCAGGCCCAGAGAAGTAAACAAAATTTGTCCAGGTCACAATCAATTCCCATTTCTGAATCAAACTCCTATTCTCTTTCCACTGCTCCCTTTCAAGGCAACCCAGTAGGGCTGGAACTGTAAGGCTGGAGCTCATCAAGTTCATCTTCTTTTTCTATTCATCCCCAGGACTGCAGTGGGCATATGGGGATATTAAAAAATCATATCCAGACCGGGCATAGTGACACATGCCTGTAATCCCAGCTACTCTGGAGGCTGAGGCAGGAGAATCACAAGTTCAAATGACTATCTCAACTACTTAGCAAGACCTTGTCTTAAGACAAAATGAAGTTTAAAAAGATCTGGGGCTGTATCTCAGTGTTAGAGCACTTGCCTAGCATGTGAAAGGCCCTGGGTTTCATTCCCAGTACCATGAGGGCAGAGGGCATCATGTGTAGGACGAAGGTATTAACCACACATCCATACTTCTGGCTTGTTATATACCCTGCATTTATAAAATAAAGACAAAATGAGAGAGGAAAGAGGGACTAACACCTGCAGGCCCCAAGTACATGTTAGCAGCTWCACCTTACTTAAATATCACAGAAAGGGGACTGGGGTTGTAGCTCAGTGATAGAGCACTTACCTATTACATGTGAGGCACTAGGTTCAATCCTCAGCACCACATAAAAATGAATAAATAAAATAAAGATATGGTGTATTTAAAAAGAAGCCAGGCACGGTGGTGCACACCTATAATCCCAGCATCTCAGGAGACTGAGGCTCTAGAGTTCAAAGCCAGTCTCAGCAATGGCAAGGTGCTAAGCAACTCAGTGAGACCCTGTCTCTAAATAAAATACAAAATAGGGCTGGGGATGTGGCTCAGTGGTCAAGTGGCCCTGAGTTCAATCCCCAGTACTCCCCMMAAAAAAAATCACAAAAAAGTTCTCAAGCTGATTAGTAGTAGCCCCATTTTAAAGAAAAGACAACTCAGATTCACAAAGGTCAAAATCCACTCCGAGGGTCACACAGCTGGCACTGACAAGCCACACTTGTCCAACTCCAGAGCACATGCCTCCTGCCRTTGGCCGGCCTTTCTCACCCACAACACCTACATCTCTCCCTGCCCACCTGTCACCTGGCCTCATGCCATGACCTTTCCTCCCCCAAGCTGGGCCCAAACTGATCAGCCCACTTCTTTTTTCCTCCCTTTTCCTCTCCTTTTGCCAGCTTGCTTCTATTCCTCTCAGGAAGGCCTTCCACTTGCACTGGCAGCTTGCTTCAAACCCCTTCAAGCGCTAGGACCCCAAAGATCTCAATTCCTGAGTATCCGAACCTGACTGTGTTCAGTCCACTAGGCCTTGAGAGGAAATATATTTCTCCCCTCTGCTCCTCAGGGCAGTAGGTAGACAAGCCCAGCTCTCTCCTCTGGGATTTTCTTGGATTAACACTAGGCTGAGGGACTGTTGGTTTCTTTTCCAAAACTCAGTTGCTGCCAGATCCAAATGCGCATTGATGTATAGATTGACTCATTTGCACATGTGTGTTCATCACGTGCGCGCGCGCGCGCGCGCACACACACACACACACACACACAAACACACAATTCCTCTGTAAGCCTTTTGGAAGCAAAACTAAGTTCTCCATGACTTTGGGTACCCTCTCAGCCTCCCTGTCGTCAGCCCTTGAGGGACTCCCCAGCTGTGCAAGAGGACAGAGTACCAGACACCTGCCCAGGGACTCGCACGCACCCAGAACTGATGGCTGAGAGGTTGCCACATGCAAGCTGTGGGGCACAGGCAGGGGCAGGTGTGGTGATGTTTTGAGAGCTTTTTGAGGGATGGGACTGAGAAAAGAATTAAGAGACATGYGATGACAAGCCACCCAGCCCTGCGGGACTCCATCAGGAACGTGGGAGAAGGGAATTTCAGGGGAGTGGGGAAAACTAAAGCCTGGGAGGAGTACAGGGGAGTCACAGACAATGGGGAGGCGGGGTGAGATGTTGAAAGCTGACAGGCAGCAGAGGAGGGGCCAAGGCTTTTTATGCAGGACAGAGAGATTCAAGGGAAAGATGGGGGGCCCTATTGAAGACAGACAGCAAAGGCGGCCCCCAGGAGCCACGCATGGGCAGTGTGGGAGCAGAGCAGCCCAGCAGCAGGAAGCCAAAGACGCTTGTGCAGGAAAGAGTCAGTGGACAGTGTCTACTCTGTGCTGTGGGGTCAGTTAGACCTGGGTCCCACTCCT